TTTCCGTCCTTGTATTTCGTTCTGGTTCGCCACCTGTTTGCAGTTCACCAACCCGTCCAAAAATGTATTTTAGTGTCTTTCCTTTAGGTTTTGTTGGGTATTCACACACCTTGTTTATGTTCTGAGCCGTTAGGTGTGTCTGTGGGTGAGATTCGACCACTCCCCTGTATATTGAGTCAGTGGGTGCCGTGAAAAGGCTGTGGCAGGATGCCGTCCCTTCAGTAGGTGGCTCTTGCTGGGAGGAACAGGCTATGCTGTTGATTTTGTGTCCTGTTATCAGCTCTTGTCCTGGCGGAGATGGGTTGGGTAAGCCTGCCCTCAGGCCCCACCAGTGCCGTTAGCGAGGGTCAAAGTTCGTTCTCTGCTTCCAGGAAAAGCTGTCAGGGCGGGGCTGGAATGGTCCGGCTCAGCCAGAAAGTCTGCTTGTGGGGGTGGGGCTGTCTGAGACCGCAGTCTGGAGCGGGCCTCGCTTCTTTTCACCCTCCCCAACTCTGCAGCTACTCCTGGTCTCTGCCAGCAGGCCAGACCACACGCCGGACTGTGATGCCGGCGGGGAGGTTCCCTGCGCAGGACGCCACCTGGGCTGGGCGTACTGCCTCCTTTTGGGAGGAGGGTTGCCCTCTAGGACGCTGATCTGCCCTGAAGGCACACACACCTCAGTAGGCTGTTCACGTATAACCCTTCAGTGCCCCGGGCAATGCTAGACCTCGGTGCACAGGATCTGGTCTGCAGGTCCGACCTGTGGGTCCCAGAGTTCAAACTGTATCCCCACCAGGGAGAGGAGTTCTGGTCCCAATTCACCCACAGGGAGCCCAAGCTGGGTCTATGTCCTCAGCCTCTGAGTCGGCACCATTCTCCCTGGGAAAGCACTGCCAGTAGCACCTGGGAGGGCTGGCAGGTAGGGAGCTCACAGTCTGAGTTCCCCTGAGTCAGCTGTAGGGTCCCAAAAGGGAAGTTCCTGTTCCCTGGAGGTGCCTCCGGCTGGCGGCTGTATTGTCTCTCTGGGCAGCCGCGGGTAGGGTCGGTGGAGGGGAGGAGGAGGCAGTATGGCGCTTGCCACGTGGCTCGGATCTGTGCACACGGAGGTGCTGGGAGTTGGGAGCCTGGTGCCACGTCCGCTACAGGCTCACCGCTGGCTGGCGGCAGCCGTCTCTGGGCTGGTGTCCGCAGGTCTCTCCACCCTCTGGGGAGCCCACTCCCAGTCCCAAATGCAGAGGAGCGGAAACAGCAAATCCACCTACCCTTGCCGCTGGTCTCCAGGCTGCTCCGGCGGTCTCAGCCTCCAGATCTCCTCCGCAGCCTCCTCCCGTGGAGTCTCCCGGGGTCTCAGGTACCCCTCCTTCCGGCCCTCGTTCACTGTATGCTCATCGTCTTGCTTCTTTTTTCTAATTTCTGCTAGAATCTGTCTTTTCTGCAGAGACACTCTGTCTGGCAGTGTTTCTCGTCCGCCATCTTGATCCTCCCCTTTGGTATTTTTGGCAAGAATACTCTGTAGGTGGTGCTGGGTCCTTCTTACTGTGTTGCATCAGTGGGCACATGGTGTCTGGTTGTCACATTTTCAGATGATACGGATTAGTGGGTGCAGGTATTGTCAGACTAATTCCTCTATTATAAAGCTCCCTGTCTGCCTTTCACCTGTGGCGTAGCAGTCATTGATGGTCATTGTCATTGTCTGCTATTTCTTTAGGGATTGCAGAACCACTCAATTTGCATGCCTCTTGTGTCTGTCAGATGTAATTCTTCTATTCCTCTTTAAACATATGGTGATTTCATTGGGGTCTTGGGAGGGGTCGGAAGTAAATTTGTGGTTCAGTTCACCAGCTTGACAGCTGCTACAGTGTGGGTTTGGACGTTCAGTGTAGGTGAACACCGAAGCCATCTAAGAAGTTGCCACGCCTGGAGAATTAGGTAGTGTGAGACAAGTACAGGGCCAGAAGCATGCTAGACAGTAAGCACCGCCCCCAAGCCATAGGTGCAATTGCTCTGTGGAAGTGCATTGAGCTTGGGTTTCAGGTACTTTTCTGTTGATATGTTACATTTAAATTAAAACATTGTATATGACCACAAAATGTAGAAGCAGTAGAAACAATCAAGGGTACCAGATCTGGGCAGGTCTGTAGGAGGAAAACCAAGAAATTGGCATTAACCCTGAAGTGTTTCATTGAAGGTCGTGGTCAGCACTTTCAAATGCTGCAGAAGTTTAAAGAAGATGAAGACAGAGATTGAACTTTGGGCTTGGCAATCACAAATCATTAGAGATCTTGGTGAGAGTTTGGTGTAAATAAATGTCATAGAATTAATGCTTATTTATTGCCCCAGAATGCTTCACTGTAGATCAGCAAAAATGATGATTATATTCCAAATTTCCAATGCCAAGGAATAGGAAAATGGATAATAAAGGCAGGGAAGGAACTGCAATGGGGTAAAGGCTAGAAGACAAGGAGAAGGAAGTGAGGGTGGAATGTACTATGCAGGAAGTTGACTGTTGCAAGAGGTGGGGTCGCTGGCAAGTTTGAGGAGACATCTCAAAAGGGTGATGTGAAGATAGAGATGGTTCTTGCCAGGGCATAGTCTCTGAGGAGGTTGGACACACAAAAGTTTAGCCACGGACAAGAGGATGGACCGTCTTCCCCATGGCTACAGTAAGGTTGAGCATGGTGGGGTGTCAGCAGGTGTTGACTTTGGATAAGGGAATCGTCGGGGACAGAATCAATTCTTTGTTTTAAACCAGTTATGTGAAGGTGGAGGAGAAACAGTTCAGCTGGACATGGTGAAAGTCAACAGTGAAGACCTGACTGCGAGGGCTGGCCCAGATCAGAGGTGACAAGCTCAGTTTATATGCAGTTACTAGGAGGGGCAGAAAAGAGGGCCATGGGGAAGGCCACATTTGGGTAGTGATGTAGCCGTGAGTGGGAGGAGTAGAGGTCCAGAAGATCCTTGGAGTGGAAACACGTGCTGCACGTGCATCAGTCTGCAGATGTCAGTGAGTGAGTGTCTCGGGGCTGATTCTGCACTGGCGATGGAGGATGATCAGAAGCTGGGGTGGACCATGGTGTGTGCACAGGTTGTGGGGGCTGAGAAGCGAGCAGGAGCTGTGGGATTGGCGGCACACCTCCATGCACTCCCCACTCTGCCCCAGGAATGCCCAGATGCTTGAGGCTCTAGTCGATTTCTTAAAAGGACTGTAAAAGAGAAGCCCATTGCAAACATCAGACTTAGGTTATTGCTCTTCTTTTCCTCTAGTTTTCCAGTGAGTTTTCTGGGTTTCATTTTTCCAAAAACATCATTTTGGATTATTTTTAACTCAAGTGCTTTTGACAGCAAGTGTAACTGACTCTCCTTGGCCTGGCCTGCTCTGGGACATTGTGTTCACCCTTAGCTTTAGTCCTTGGACAGAGATGACCTGGGAATGGAAGCTTCTCTGCTGTGGCCAGGAAGACAGCCTATAGATGTTGAGATCACCCTTCCAGGTCCTAGGTCTTCATGTTGGACCAGAGACTCTAGCTCCAGAGTCTCTGGCCTAAAACCAGTGCTCTTAGCCTCTTTCTGCTGTGGTCCAGGCCATATTAAATGCTATATTTCCAGAGGAGGAGTCATTGCCCAGGTGGAAATCTTGTCCACACTAGAATTGGGCAAGATACTTAGGAGAGACCTCCTCATCTTTGCTGTGGTTATTGTGGGCCCAGGTATCTGATTCTCTAAGAGTACATCCCAAAGGTGGGGTCCTTGGGGTTTGCAATGAGGCCTGACCCACATTAGTCAGAATCTTGAATATTTAGTATAATTCCTCTACATCCCATCTCCTCTCCTCAGGGGTGTCAGCCTCACTCTGTCCCCAGAAACGTTGGAGGGGATGGCCCCAGGCTAAGAAGGAACATGTGTGCTCTTTTAGGAACCAGTGACCTTCAAGGATGTGGCCGTGGACTTCACCCAAGAAGAGTGGGGACAGCTGGACCTTGTTCAGAGGACCCTCTACCGTGATGTGATGCTGGAGACCTATGGCCACCTACTTTCTGTGGGTAAGGCGGCTGCTACCCAAGTAAATGAAACTGTTCCCATTGCAGTGCTTTTAGCTACTCCATGTTTAAAAGCTCATTGGGGGCTGGACGCAGTGGCTCATGCCTGTAATCCTAGCACTCTGGGAGTCTGAGGCGGAAGGGATCGCTCAAGGTCAGGAGTTCAAAACCAGCCTGAGCAATCGTGAGATGCTGTCTCTAATAAAAATAGAAAGATATTAATTGGCCAACGAAAAATATATAGGAAAAATTAGCCAGGCATGGTGGCACATGCCTGTAGTCCCAGCTACTTGGGAGGCTGAGGCAGGAGAATCGCTTGAGCCCAGGAGTTTGAGGTTGCTGTGAGCTAGATTGATGCCGTGGCACTCTAGCCAGGGCACAGAGTGAGACTGTCTCCAAAAAAAAAAAAGCTCATTGGGGCTGGGCACGGTGGCTCACGCCTGTAATCCTAGCACTCTGGGAGGCCGAGATGGGCGGATTGCTCGAGGTCAGGAGTTCGAAACCAGCCTGAGCAAGAGCGAGACCCTGTCTCTACTATAAATAGAAAGAAATTAATTGGCCAGCTAATATATATAGAAAAATTAGCCGGGCATGGTGGCGCATGCCTGTAGTCCCAGCTACTCGGGAGGCTGAGGCAGGAGGATTACTTGAGCCCAGGAGTTTGAGGTTGCTGTGAGCTAGGCTGACGCCATGGCACTCACTCTAGCCTGGGCAACAAAGTGAGACTCTGTCTCAAAAGAAAAAAAAAACTCATTGGGAGGTGTCTTAGAAAGGCAGAGGTGATCTTGAGCCCTAAAGTTCAGGGACGAAATTCCTAATGTTTATGAAGCACAAAGCGGGAGAGTGGTAGGAGCCATGCTTATTTTGTCTAAGTGAGAAGTCACAGGGAGGAGTAGGCAAGGGAAGCTTTTTTAGGCTGCCCCAAAGCCTCATTACACAAGTCCCATGTTTTTCCTCCATGCGTAGGAAATCAGATCACCAAGCCCGAGGTCATCTCCCTGTTGGAGCAAGGAGAAGAGCCATGGTCGGTGGAACAAGCATATCCTCAAAGCACTTGTCCAGGTGAGGTAGGCCCCAGGTATGACCAAGGAACTTTCTCCAAGGCCTCCTTTTTGAAAAATGGGCTAAGACCATGAGGTGTTACCATACTCAGATGTGTTTAGAATTCCCACTTACAGGGCTTTCTCTCTTCTTGTATTGACTTTCTTGCTGCTATTGATTTAGAACAAAGATGCCCCACCTTATTAATAAGGTAGCAGTTTTTGTATGCTGCAATTTCTCTCCCTTGATGTCTGCTCTCATTGGCTCTCATATTTTCTGCTGTCCTTTTCTCTAAGATTACTTCTCATTCGCTTACCTACTTTAAAATTTTTTCTAATTTCCTCTATTGCCAAACTTAAAGCCTGTGGCCATAGTTGCTTCTTTAAAAAAAAAAAAAAAAAATAACAAAAATAGGTTTTTTATAGAGGTAGTTTATTCGCATGGTTCAAAAAATTCAAAGCTACATAAAATGCGTAAGCTGAAAAATCTCATTTATACTCCCTGCTGTTATCTACACTACTCTAACCCACCAAATATAGACCCACAGAGCAACACTCAGAGGCACACACTCAGGTAATCACTTTTCTTTTCTTTTTTTTTTTTTTTTATCCTCCCCCCTCCACTTTTCTTTTACTATAAATTTTTGAGTTATTTTCTTAGTATTCGTCCTGGGGAGTACAATTGACATTATAATTTATAACAATCTCACTTGGATTAATACGAATTTAATTTTGATAGCATACCAAAACTTTCCTTCTGTATAGCTCTGTCTTCTTCCTTTTATGCCACAAATTTCATCTTCATACATTATGTGTTCATTAACATAGATTTATAATTATTGCTTTATGTAGTTGCCTTTTAAAGCATAGGAAAAAAAGGAATTACAAACAAAAAATATATTTATACTATTTTTTTATAGATACTTATATACTTCCCTTTATTGGTGTTTTTTGAGCTACTGTTTAGAGTTCTTTCATTTCAGCCTTAGGGACTCTCATTAGTGTTTCCTGTAGGGCAAGTTTGGTAGCATTAAACTCTGTAAGGTTTTGTTTATCTGGGAATCTCTTGATTTCTCCTTAGTTTTTTCTTTTCTCTTTTTTTTTTTTTTTTTTTTGAGACAGAGTCTCACTCTATTTCCTGGGCTAGAGTGAGTGCCGTGGTGTCAGCCTAGCTCACAGCAACCTCAAACTCCTGGGCTCAAGCAATCCTTCTGCCTCAGCCTCCCGAGTAGCTGGGACTACAGGCATGTGCCGCCATGCCTGGCTAATTGTTTCTATATATTTTTAGTTGTCCAATTAATTTCTTTCTATTTTTAGTAGAGAGAGGGTCTCGCTCTTGCTCAGGCTGGATTCGAACTCCTGAGCTCAAAATGATCCGCCTGCCTCAGCCTCCCATAGTGCTAGTATTATAGGCGTGAGCCACTGCTCCCAGCCTATCCTTAGATTTTTTTTTTTTGAGACAGAGTCTCTCACTCTGTTGCCTGGGCTAGAGTGCCATGGCATCAGCCTAGCTCACAGCAACCTTAAACTCCTGGGCTCAAGCAATCCTCCTGCGTTAGCCTCCTGAGTAGCTGGGACTACAGGCATGCACCACCATGCCTGGCTAAGTTTTTCTATATATTTTTAGTTGTCCAGCAAATTTCTTTCAATTTTTTTAAGTAGAAATAGGGTCTTGGTCTTGTTCAGGCTGGTTTCAAACTCCTGACCTTGAGCGATCTGCCTGCCTCCGGCCTCCCAGAGTGCTAGGATTACAGGTGTGAGCCACCACGCCCGGCCCTTTCCTTAGTTTTTGAAGGATAATTTTGCTGGATATAGAAATCTTGATTCAGTTTTTGGTTTTTTTGTGTGGCTTCCATGCTTTCTGATGAGAAGCTGTTAATCTAATTGAGGATCCCTTGTATGTGAGTTGCTTCTTTTTTCCTGCTTTCAAGATTCTCTCTTTGGCTTTGCGTTTTGAAAATTTGATTATTATGTGTATGCATGTGGCGTTATAGGTTGGAGCTTTTCAGAGCCCTCAGGACATCTCATTCCTCAGCTTTTCCTTTTTATCTTTTTGGTTAGTGTGTTGTTGGATCTACCTGTATGCCATCACCTCAGGCAGTGGTGACTTTAGAACATTGCTTGTAAAATGTTTGACAAGTACATTCTCCCTGTAGGCTTTTAACACTATAAGTTTACTGTCAGAGTTTTCCAGGCAAAACACAGATAAGCCTTTCCAGTAATGACTGTGTTTTGGGGAATGAGGTTTTAAGAAAGCTCTAGTTTTGTTCTACTCACTCTAGTATGAAAAATCGGGGCTATTTTCAAAGGCTACTGCTGAGCTGGGGAGCCAGAGATGGGACTAGTTTAAACGCGCCACAAGGCTTACTCTGTTCTTATTGAAATTCGGTTGTTTTTCTTGAATAAATGCTCCCTGGTTGCTGCAAAGCTTTGGATAATTTACACAATTTTGAAAAAGTTGATTCTGTGAGGCAGGAGGATTGCATGAGCCTAAGAGTTTGAGGCTACAGTGAGCTATGATCATCCCGCTGCACTCCATCCTGGGCAACAGAGTGAGACCTTGTCTCAAAAAACAACAAAAAATTTGATTGTGACAGTTTTTGCCTGTTTTTTAGTTGCTTTTATGGAGGGGTAAAATTTTAGATTTCCTTACTTTGCCATTTTCACTGACATTCTGCCCCAACTAATCACTTTGTACAGTGATTTCTGTTGTATGCTTGCAGAGTTTCTTTAGCAACTACAAGCATAGAGGAATTGTAGTTAATTATTACTTTTCCCAAAGTGGAATACTGTACACACTGTCTTTGCCTTGTTATTTTTAATTTAACAATATGCCGTAGTCTCTTCTGGAGTCCTGAAGTTGGACATCTCCCACCTACTCTAATGAAGGGAACTCTTGTGGAGAGGCTTACCAGTTGCCCCCTATTCAGATTGGAAACCTTGCTCTAAGAACACAAGAATTCCAGTATCTTTAATTCTTCTATCCTTAGTGCTGCCCATTCTTAGTTACTATCCTGAGCCCTGTAATTCCAACACCTCCATCCGTGTACTTCTCCCATTTTGCAAAGCATCTTAATAGTCTCCTTGATCTCAGTAGATAGAGTAGGAATCTCTTCTCTTCTTTCTAGATGTTTCCCCATCTTCCTGAGGTGTATTTATGGTGCTAGCCTTCTGCAGTTCCCCTAAACTGGAGATGGAGAAGTCAACTTGACTTCCTGTTCTTTCCTCTCCAAGAAGTAATCTCTCTTCTAATTACTGAGATTTTCTTTCTCTGAAATGTCAGTGGTGTCTTCCACCATCACCCTAAGTCAAGCCCCTTCCTGATAAAATTTCAGCTCCAGTTGATGAGAAAACGCTGACTTATTAGCCACCTCAGATGTTATTTCTGATTCATCTCCCTGAAATCTTCCATCATGAGGTTCCTATCAGTAAACCTACAGTGCCTTTTAACAAACAAAACAACCAGATTTCAAGACTTTCCAATTTTTCCTATTATTTTTCTCAATTCCTGAGTAGCTCCTATAGTTCACCCAACTGGCATCCTGATTATTCTTCTTACAGGTTGGCTGCATCATGCATGCCTTTGCTAATGCTGAACTAGCACTCTGTATCTGAACCATGCTTGAATGTTGTTTCTTTTATTCGAACGATTCTTAATTGCTTCTGTTAGTGCTGATCTCCTTTTGCTGATTTCCTACCCACATAGCACATACAACCTACAATCTCTCAGTGATATTTCATGTGTATTTTTCATCACTGTTTGGTATGTCCTCTCATTGCATAGATTGTAACTTCTAGGAGGAAGAAACTATACTTTCTTGCTTTGTCTCTGGTGCTGGACACTCAGTAGGCCATGAGTACTAAGGGAGCATAAAGTTGGACAAGAACTGTTCATTCAGTCTTTCACTTGGTCAGGGAATTGGTCAGCCTCCATTTGAAAAAGTTTCTATGGAAATGATTTAAAAGCTAGTTGAAGATCATTTACTAGCTTCTACAAGCTAAGCTTGATATTAGTATTAAATGTCAGTTCTTGAGCAGAGTAGAGCCTGTGTTATAATGGACTTAGGTGGTAAAAGGGGGGAAATGGTGCACAGTGAAGAGAGAAGAAAAACCTAGAGAAAGAGGACAAATATCTTGATCCTGTTGGGACCTGGGGCATTAACTCCTGTGGCAGGCTAAATAATAACTCCCTCCCCCTAAGATATCTATATCCTGATCTCCATAATATGTGAATATGATACCTTATATGGCAAAAGGGGCTTTTCAGATATGAATAAACTAAGGATCCTGAGATAGGGAAATTATCCTGGATTATCTGGGTGAATTCTAAATGTAATCACAAAATCCTTATAAGTGAGGATCAGAGACACAGAGAGATGTGATGTCAGAAGCAAGGGTTGGAGTGATGTGCTTTGAAGATGGAAGAAGAAGCTATCAACCAAGGAATACAGGCAACTTCTAGAAGCTGAAAAAGGCAAGGATACAGATTCCTTCTAACAATTTCTGGAAGGAGCACAACCCTCCCAGTAACTTCATTTTAGCCCAGTGAAAACCATTTTGGACTTCTGACTTCCAGAACTTTAAGATAATACATTTGTATTATTTTAAGTTAATAAGTATGTGGAAATTTGTAACAACAGGAGAAGGAAATTAATATAAATTCCTTCAGCTGTTGGAAAACTTTTATCTAGGCAATGATAATAGGTAGCTCCTGAATATTGAACTTGTCAGGCATTTTACTGGATTCAAAGTCTCATTCATTGATCTTCAGAAAAGTCCTCTAAGAATAGTGGTAGAACCAGTATTTAAATACAGATTATCAGACTTAATTCTTATGTCTGCTTCATTCCACTATGCTATCTTTCCAGTCCATCTCTTGAATCATTGCTTTAAAAATGATTTTGTTGGCCGGGCGCTGTGGCTCACGCCTGTAATCCTAGCTCTTGGGAGGCCGAGGCGGGCGGATTGCTCAAGGTCAGGAGTTCAAAACCAGCCTGAGCAAGAGCGAGACCCCGTCTCTAC